TATCATGTGACGTAGCATGCACAGTTTTGAGTTGCATACTTTTTGCATACTACAAAAAAAAAAAAAGTGCAATGCACAATGCACAATATTCTTTACGTAGATTTCATATCTGCAGCGATGACCCATAATGCCATGCTCTTATCCAATCTGTTGCTAATGAAAAATGACTATATGAGGGCATAATCCACTTTGATATAATCGCTCCCTGGCTGTCCCTTATAAGCATTGTAATCCGGCCGTTCAGCAGAGGCTTGAGAGAGGAACGATTAGTCACAGGTCACCTGGGAGCGACTGCGATTAGCAAATCCCACACACACACCAACAGACCAGACCGCCTTGTTTCTTAGCATTATGACTGTTGTAAACACACTGCATGTTCAATACTTGCTTTGTGTCTTTGCTTTGTTTGAGTGGCTCACATACCTGCATAATATTATGGATTTAGCTTTCCATCAGAAACATTAAGATGTTAGGATTATGATAATCACACAAGCAATGTTATTGTTCCACGGGTGATATTCAAAATGATATTTATACAAGAGTTCTTATTATAGCTATTTTTGGTTTGTTTTTAATTTTACCTTGAAATATCAGTTTCAAATCAATCTGTTTTCTAATTTCAAATGTTACTTGCAAAATGTTAATAAAAAAAACGGCAGCAACTAATGCACTTGCACAGCTATTGATTTATTTACGACAGTGAATTCCACTCAGTTAAATGTAGGGGGCTCAAAAGTCACAAAAATACACAAAACTATTTTTACTCTGCCAAAGATGATTTTGCTAAGAAGTCAGAGTAAACGAGCAAAAAACAGCAGTGTTGTCTCGTTCCTGAATGAATCTGCATTATTGAATGAATCTGTTGAGTAAAACTTCCTCACAGAAACTGTCCCAACCTTCTGGGTAGTAACCCAACCGCTGGTTCAAAACAACCCAATTGCTGGGTTTGTCCGTATTTTACCCAGCACTGGGTTGTATTTAACCCAGCATTTTTTAGAGTGTACTATTTATACCAGATAAATATTGAGATATAGTAGACATTATAAAAATTGCATGCTAGTATACTGTTCTGAATTTAGGCACTTAATTTTGTCCCTGACCAAATCAGTGTTTTCAAAGAATCGGTTGAATCGTTGATTCAATTATTCAGTCATACACTCTAAAAAATGCTGGGTTAAATACAACCCAGTGCTGGGTAAAATAGGGACAAACCTAGCAAATTGGGTTGTTTTGACCCAGCGGTTGGTTTACTACCCAGAAGGTTGGGTTAAACATTTAACCCAACCGCTGGGTCAAAACAGCTCAATTGCTGGGTTTGTTCCTATTTTACCCAGCACTGGGTTGTATTTAACCCAGCATTTTTTAGTGTAGTCACTTGCCGCCACCTACTGGCATAACGATAAACTACAGAAATAGTACTGTGTGTCTAAATTCGCATTCTTTTGTACTGATCTGTTACCTCATCATAATGCCCAAACAGACTGATACAGACAGTTGTAGTGGGTAGTGAGTATATGAGAGCAACGAATAGTAGTTGTGACTGTTCCACTGCTATTCCAACTTGTAATTCTATTTTTTTCCATATGCCATGATCTCACTATATAACAGAGGGATGGGGTACCCAGAGGCCCAGGCCATGGATGACTATCCAGTTCAGAGAAAAGGGGACAGACTGCCCTTTCAGGTAAAAAACTCATCGGTCATCCTTTTGTCTTTGCTGTGAAGTTTGTAATTATATAGGATGAATTTAGGTCAAATGGATCAGGTTTTGCTTTTGAGATGACTGGGAAAAATGTCCCAGTTAACCCGAGTTCTATATTAATTTACCTATTCATTTTAGTAATTTTTTATTTAATGTCACACACATTCATTCAATCATTTTAGGACATAAAGCCTGCTTGGGTGACAAGTTTGTATATTGAAGTCACCTTTAAATCATATAGGTCTTTTTGCCTTAGGTGACAGTCTAAGATAGCATTTTCTTTTTGCGTTTGCTTTATTTATAGATTGACTGATTTATTGATTATGACCCATAATTTATATAGTAAAATCTACATTTATATTTAACGTCTAACTCCTGCATATACAGTTACATTCATCACATAACTCTGAATAATCATGCTGTGTCTTAAGATGGCATGTCTTAAAATGTGTGTCTCAAGTTCATTGGTTGCTCCCACATGTGTGAACTGTCCAGTGACAAACGGATTAAGAAAAGAAGCTGCTCAATGCTTTTTAGAACAACAATGTCAAGTATAACATTTGCTGCATTGCATTTTATTGCTACATTTAACCAGTATTTTAAACATGAATTAAATAAAGTTAAAACTTCTGTATATGTCATTTTGAAAAGCAGTTCATTTTATTATTTTATGGTTACGTTTAAATAAAAACTTTTAAAAATGCATTTTTCAGTTTGGCAACTGATTTGTAGTTTTGAATCAAAAAATTGATTATTCATTCCTTAAGTGGAACTTAAGCCATTCATACAGTATGTTGATGTACCCCAAAAACTGCAAACACTGTGTAGATTTTTTATATTGCTGTGTCAACATTGGCTCAACCAATGTCTTGAGTTTGGCACGGGAATATCTGTTAGTGCAAACTCTTTGGAAAGTGTTCAGCAATTCCATTAGTGGTGCCACTAGTTGCACACAGCAGCTTCAAACTACTCATTTGCAAACTTAAGCATTGCTTCAGCAATACCTAGTAACTCTTATCTACATTTGTTTTATTTGATAATAACTGCTGTTCCCTCACTAGTTTTTAAGCAATAGAGATCACAAAGAGGACACATGCAGATTGTGGCATCACATGCTAGAATTTCACAATGGTGTTGAGCTTTCATCAGTTCGTGGCGGACCTGAAGCAACCGCAAACAGGAACCACTGTAGTGCAAACACCATTCAATACGGAAGATTTCTCCTCCTTATATTATCTGCTCTCTTTCTCCTTTATTTTGCAGATCTTCCCAGATCCAGTGGAAGTAGTTTTGAGTACTGAAGGCTGTCTGAGCTGCGCGCCGCAGGAGAAGGAGCGCCTGCCATCCATCGTGGTGGAGCCGACTGACATCAGCGAGGTGGAGAGCGGTGAGCTGCGCTGGCCCCCAGAAGACATGGACTTCGATGAAGATGAAGATCTGTTCTTGGAGCAGTGCATCCCACCTGCTAACATCGCAGACTGGGGGGAGGATGAGGAAGAGAGCTCGGTTATTGAAAACCACCAGCAGAACACTTCTCTGTTAGGTACTTTCACAACCATTCAGAACAACATCTAGGACCACACAAATTGTGTTGCCTTCTTTTGGGGGTAATTGGGTGGGAAATCAGTGGTTATCAGTTGAATTGAACATGGTAAGACATGATAAAACAGATCTGATGTCTTATTTTTGTAGGCCAACCTGGAAGTTCACATCACCCTAGTTTCCTTGACAAAAACCCAATACGATTTTTTCCCCCCACTGGTTGTTGGATTATTGCTGAAAATAAGCTTTGTGTATAACAAAAGTTTATGATTCTTACATGCTTTGTTCATAATGATAATCTTCACAAATTAAGGAATTTTATTGCATTTTCGAAGCCTAAGTAAAAAGCTAAATAAACTACACCATGGTCACACGACTTCAACATCACCACCATTAAGCTTCCAACAACTCTTTATTTGAAATCTACAAGTTGTCAAGTTTAAGAATAGTTTGCAAGAGTGTGATTATAAACACAATGAGGCTGTGAAAGCGACTAGTGAGTAGAATGAATAGCTGTTGGGTATGATGACATGTCATGTCCCCGACAACCTCTGTAGTCCCAATAAGCCACTTGTTAGCATCCGCCTTTTTCAAGATTTTCAAGTAAAATCTTATATATATCACAAGTGGGTATTACTGATAAATTGCATGTCATGGAATAAGATGTGAAAATATTTTGAGCTTGTAATAACCACAAAACTTATGCCAGACATTTAACCAAAAACCCATTCAAAAAAATCCATTGACGTCAGCATGATAGAACTGGAAGTGTTAAAATGCTAACTTCGTTTCCAGGTTATGGCTTACAAAAATATGCCATTCTTGCAGAACTCTATTGGTAGATAAAATAATGCTCATATTAGCCAAACTATCAAACAAACAGAAACGCATAGAGCAGGAGATGTGTTGAACGATGAGCTTTCAAGTTCCATGTGGGGCTAAAAAAATATTTCTGCAGAAAATCTGTTTACTTCTCTATCTTGCTCCGAAACCTCGTTTTAAACAGCAGGCAACAGATGTTGCGGCCAAAACGGGTTGTTGCAGCACTAAGCTTTTGAACCTTTCAAGTTTCAAATTGAATTTTTTCAATTTTTCAGCACAGAGGGCAACGCAATATATATGCATTGCTCATTTTCAGTTTCATTTACATTAGAGGAGTCTGGTTGCTTTAGTTTTGTTTCATTCTCTCTCTCTGTCTATCCATCTGTATGTAGATCTTCAAACAGATGACTTTAGGGACGACACCCCGACTCTACCTCCAGAGAGTGCTTCAACTCTGAACTGACGCCCAACGAACCCTTCCTGAAAATGACTTTATAGGTCATTACCATGAATTCTGCACTTATTAATAAACCCTTCAGGAAATGACTAGAGGATGCTTACTGAAGACCTATGGGACTGTGCGGTTCTGATTGTGGTCTGACTGTGGTCACACAAGTAAGCTGACACTTTCTGTAGACTAGAAGAAAAAAAAAAGAGCAACTTGTGAAGAAATTTACTGAAATGAAATTATACATTGTAATATAGTAGCTCATGAAGTCATTACAGTCTTTCATAGGTTTTTTGAATGCAAAAATTAGTTTCTGCATTTTGGGATTTAAACCAGTCAGCATGTTCACATTCCTCCTTATCATGCAAATCTGAAAAAAAAAAAAAATGCAGAGAAATCATTGAAAAAGGTGAAGGAGCATAACGGAAACTTGCATTTTAGTGACACCACATATCATCTGTAGCAGAGTGTTATGTTACAGAGGAGTTGAAATGTGTTGTATTGGAACATTTCTTTCAACGTTTTGAAAGAAAAGTTTAATTTTGTGCCGTATTTATCCCTTTTTTCTTTTACCCATGTCAGTTTTTGTTGTATTTCTGTCATGCTCATCTGCATTTTAACCTTTAAGTGCACCTCTGAGTAGAATAAAACAGCGCATTGTGTATGTTTATACCAAATAGAAAACTTTGTCACTCAGTTGTTGTGAAGCATTCGTCTTTGCAATATGTACATACACTGTTTTTCCTCAAATGATTATTACTAAATACAATTTAAAGCAATAAAATGCATCAGTACCACTACTGATTTTTTTTTTTTTGTTCAGATTCTTGTCTAACAGTTCTGTCCAATCGCATCACAATAATATGACCCTAAAAAAGAAGAACAGCATCTGCTGATTCAGATCGACATCGTCCTTCTCTTCTCTGTTCCAGTTCCAAATGAGTCTTCCATGACACTTTTTAAGTTTAAAAAGTTTTAAAGACCAACGACTGCATCAAAGATCGTGTAAAAGTGCTTCTACAACATCGCTAAGGTAAAGGCTTGGCACACAGCACTTTGCAATCGTTTCCTGGCTATAAGGGTCGCAAAAATAGAGGAGCTGAATCACATCTGGTGTAGCAGATCGGCACAACTTCACAACCAGAAATTCTGAGAGGTATTTTTTGTTGTTGTTCATTTTCATTGATTTTTAACACGATTAGAGTTTCATTTATGTAGTGTTGAACTGAATAAAAAAATTCTGAGAAACTATTTACAAAAAAAAAAAAAAGATTTTCATTATATGGACACTTCTTTCATGTGCCACAGAAGAAAGAATGACTTTACAATGAAGAAATGATAACAGAATTTTCATTTTTGATGAACTTTTCTATTAAGAACTTTTAAAATCTTTAAAAGAAAATAAAAACTTTAAGAAACGTCTTGAAATTTCTTAATAATGACCTCTTAAGTTGAAAAAGATTCATTTTAAGATCAGTTTTAAATGTGTCCTCACAATTGCATCATAAAGTTGCAATGTTTGACTCTTTAATAACCACTAGACACTGCTTTGAGGGTTTTAGCTTTGAGTAACATTGCACGTTTTCTGTTATTCGTCTCTTTCTCATTTCACAGCTGAAATGGAGGAAGGTGACTATATTTTTCCTGATGATTATAATGAGACCGACTGGTGTGAGGGGGTTGAAAACTGCACGGCTTTTGTGCTCCCCACTGTAACGCCACTGTCCAGGATTGGTTCCCGGCACTGGATCGTTCTGGTCTGCTACTTCATTGTGTTCCTGTTGGGTGTCCCGGGGAACGCTCTGGTGGTGTGGGTGACCGCGTTTCGAATGCCAAACTCTGTAAACGCGCAGTGGTTTCTGAATCTGGCCATCGCAGATCTGCTGTGCTGCTTGTCGTTGCCTCTCCTCATGGTGCCGCTTGCCCAGGACCAGCACTGGCCTTATGGTGCTTTGGGTTGCAAATTACTCAGCGGTTTGTTCTACATGATGATGTACTGCAGCGTTCTGCTCCTGGTCGTGATCAGCTTGGACCGTTTCCTACTGGTGACCAAACCGGTGTGGTGCCAGAACCACAGGAACACGAGGCAGGCCCGCTGCGTCTGTTTGGTCGTCTGGATTCTCGCTCTCCTGGCCGGTTCTCCTCAGTTTGCTCACATGGGGATACATGAAGTGAGCAAGACTAAAACATCATGTGAAGGCAGATACAGTAACTTGGGTCATGCATGGTCCGTAACCCTTACCCGCTGTTTTCTGTCTTTTCTGCTGCCTTTCCTGATCATCTGCATCAGCCATTGGAAGGTTTTCCTCACGACGAGCTCTGGCCGAGGGCAAAGAGGCAGCGACAAGTCAACCCGGGCGCTACGTGTCATCCTGGCATTGGTGCTCAGCTTCTTCCTGTGCTGGATTCCTTTGAACATCGTGGATATTCTGCTGTTAATGATGCAAAAACAATCCCATAACGTTCGAGTCAACTTGCATCTAGCCCACGTGCTGACGCTCTGCTTAGCTTACATTAACAGCTGCCTGAACCCGCTGCTCTATGTATGTCTAGGCCGCGGTTTTAAGGAAAGTCTGATTAGCTCACTGCGAAGTGTGCTTCACTTCGCATCCGAGGCACCGCCCCATCGAATCAGCATGACTGCGAACAGTAAATCAACCACAGACGGGTTCAGAGAGAAGCCCTTATGAAATCTTTGCGTGGAGATGTGGATCGAAAACCTATTCAAATACCACCCTCGGGAATCATTTGTAGGTTTATAGAAAAAGTTTATGGCTCACTAGTGGACATGCTGCACAACGAAGATGTACAAACTTAGTCACCAGTATTGTTCTATTAACAATATTCTTTTAAACCTCCATAACATTCTCGCACAATTCTTTCAAACAAACCAATATATAACCATTTCCTGTCATAGCTAATCAAAAACAGCAGAGCACGGTTCACTATATTAACATGCACTAATTTTCACCACTCGTAATTGATCCAGTTTGAATTCAGATTCTGGAAGTTGTGTTTATATGAACACGAAACCTTGCAGTCCGATTCACATATTCGTTTACATGCGCATTGCACCTATTGCGAACAAAAAAGTGCATGAAACAGAGAAAGCCACTGCAAGAATGTCGCAATTTGGAAATAATTCAGTCTCCTTCACATAAGTCAACATGCGCATTAAGGTGCGGTCACATTAGCGAAATTGCAGCAAATTTTGCGAACAAAAAAGATCCATTGTTTCTTTTCAATAGTGTAGAGAAGTAAGAAGCACCGCTCGTACAAATGTCACTTTCAGACAAAGCAGGTTTTCTTGCTCAACGCCATGAATTCACGTGAGCAAAACATGGGGAAGGTTTTTTGCCCTCACACGATCTCGCGTATTCCTGCTGGAATGACTATTTCGCACACAAAAAATAGTCACGGCAGCTAAATGTAACCACTTGCAAAAAAATAGTCACATTCAAGCGTTTACATTATTTGATTTATTATTTCAATCCGATCGAAATTTCATTCAGATCGAGTTCAATCGGATCGACGGAGATGTTTACATGAAGGCCTTTCAGTCCGATTGAGCCATCAATCTGATTATACACGGATTATTTGGGCGCATGACGCATCCGTGACAGTTTTGATTCGTTAGTAAACATATAATTCAATGGATTAAAATATTAATAACCATTTACAGCCAAATTAAAAATCATTTTAAATATTTACGTTTGTACATTTGCTTTATGATATGGTTAGGCCATATATGGCATTTCTGTGTATTGATTTACTGTAATCCTTGTATTCATTTTAAACTTTAAAATGTCCTGTTGCATTAATTAATCAACACTATTTTGCGATATATGGCACATAGCCTATAGCCTTTTTCATCACTGACATAACTAAAATGTTGTAATATTTGTTTTGTTTCTAGTCAGATTTGCTTTATTGTTAAAAGAATGTTCTGGATTAAATACAACATAGATACAAATGCGACTATTGATTACCACAGAAAATAATTTTAGCTGTTTGTAAATTCGGACAAAAACGCAGTTACACTCTTATGGAAGCCATAGTGTGAATGTAGGCTGCCACACCGAAATAAATGTTAACAACATACTGTATTAAAGGTGCACACATAACAATTAAGGTAATCTTTCGATGTGTTTTCTATATTAGCATGAGAAAAGCTGAATTTGCCAGGCGTAGTTTGTCCTTCGCGGTTGTAAAATGCCTGCTGCGTGCTCATGAGCTTGACTAACCAGTAGAGGCCAGTAAAGAGTGAGTGTTAAAACTAAATTTGACAGGCTAGTGCTGAGATTCCCAGCCGTGAGATGTGGCTTTTGGTGTATGTGGGTGAGTTTCGAGGCTATATGTGTATATATTCACCTGAAGCTGCTTAAAAAATTCCACCCTAACTTTCTGTTTCTGACATAAATCAACACAGAAAAAAATGGCAAATTCATATATTGTTACAAAGTAATCCGTTATTATGGACACTCATAATGAATACCATAAATCATGGCAAACTTATGGCCCATATAAGCATTAAAGGCAGAGTAAGCGATTTCTGGTAGCCAATGTTGATATTTGAAATCACCAAAACAAACACGCCCCTACCCCAAAAGGGTCTTGCCCCTATTTTGATAGCTCCGCCCCACATATACGTACGCAACCCAGGCAACGATTCGTTCTGTGAAACAAAGCAAAACCAATGTTACACTGTGTCTACGGACGTGAGCGGCGCGGTGCAACAAATCCCCGACAGAAAACTGCTGCCGGGTTCTATTTATGACGTGCTGATACAAATTTCAAATGTTTTTCAATGGTCGTTTGATCGCGTCCAGTGTAGGCAGACTTTAGTTGTTGTAGACACGGTGTTACTCACCTATTGAGAAGAAACAAAGCAACCTCGGCGTCCGATCGCAGGCCTCCGCTCCTTGAGTTCTCTCCAGCGCTGGAAAGCTGATCCGATATTTACACGGGTCCTACTTCTTGCCTTATCGTTCCGCAGACGTTTTCCTCTTTTGTTTTTTATCCGCCATCTCTATCTTTCTGTCGCTCGGCTCGGCTAATGTCCGTCCCATGCACTGAACGCGCTCTCCTCCACATCACGAGTAGACATGCCCCTTATTGCTGATTGGCTACAAGTTTGTTTTGCTATTCGGCCCGAATCAGTTTTCTAAAGTGTTTTTGAAAAATCACATACCCTGCCTTTAAGGGACTCCCCATAACACCCACAAATATACTTGGGGGGCCCCTGGTTTTTCAATAAAACTATAATACTTGAAACATGAAACTAGTGAAAATGAAAATTAAATGAAAATATTCGATTGCTGTATTAAATTTAGACCTGCTCATGTTACATTACAGAGTTGCTCATAATAACCAATCACACACGATTCTGTTGAGTTTAGGAATGCAGTGACCAATCAGAGGTGTTCAGATTAGTCAACGCTGAATTTTGTTTAGACTGAACCTCGCAAATTCCCTCATCATTAGCAACAAAAGTGCAGATGTACGTACGATAAAAGAGATTAATTTATCATACAGATTGTAAGAGGAGTTATGAGTGCTAGCAAGCTAGACTGACTGCTCATTTAGAGGGTGTTCTTTCACTGCATGATTCAGTCTAATAAAATGCATTTAGAATGCTCCCAAAATTCAAGATATGGGGGCAGAAAATATATTTATATCATTTCATATAGTTGATAAATATCACACGAAGAGTGCCATTGTTTCGCAAAAATCCCAAATGTGATATTGATTTTATACAACAGTTCAATAAAGTTAATATTAATAAACTTACGTTTTAGACACCATATAGCCTATTTTTGCTCTATTTCGCCAACAAAAAAAATTTTTCAAACAGCCACAGCACTGTTTTACGTCTCTGAGCAACTCCATGGTTTTTCGTTCCTGAATGAATCAACCGTTTAAATGATTCCGTTCAATCGCAATGACTCACTTAACAGTGACTTGCTGCCACCTACTGGCGGTTTTAAATTCACATATAAAGTACCTTTTCATTTTTTAAAAATAATTTCAATATCAGTATTCAACGTTTTAGGATTAAAATATCAAAACAGTATTTATGCATTTGTAACCGCAGTTTAAATGCATTCATGTCCTGCATTAAACAATGTGTAAATACATCTAAATGCCTCTTCAGATGCAGATTCTGTGTTTCCTCTGCATTGCAAAGATGAATTTTGTTGATAATGATTTTATTTGTTTAGTAACAGCCCCACATGTCTTATTATTCTAATTCAATTTATTGATTAAATATAAGAATTTGACACAAAATATAATGCACACTTCTAGAAAAAAATGGTTTTATAACGGTAAAAATGCCCATAAAGTGTAAAAATCACTTTAAACTTGTTGGAAAAGATTAATTTCTGTCACTGATGTGAACTGACCACGCAGAATATGAAGAATATCCAAAACTTTAGGAGTCAGCTGTCCAGGGCAGTCCTGTAGCGCGACAGACTCAGCCAAATATCATCTGATTCTCGTTATGGATAAAATCCCATAGGGATACCTAGGGACAACACAACTAGGCTATATATTTAATTTCTTTGCTTAGTGATCGTTAACTTCTTTGCTTAGTGATTGCTTGGTTCACCTAATTCACTGATCATGTATTTTTTTTTAAACTTTGTTATTGTTTTGAAAATGCCACCTCTAGTGGCGAAAACTTGGACGTGTCTAGGATAATTGTATTTTCCATTCAAAAATGGGGAACAAATATGCCATCTGTACACCATTTCTGTCAAGTCCTGTATAGTCGATGTATTAAATAAAATAAATAAATAAACAATAAAAACAGCTTTTGCTACATCACTTCAAATCACACCCATGGACGACTATGAATAAGAGTTTATTTACAACATGCAATGAGCAGGAACATATTTCAAAGACCACATGAAAATCTCTAAAATACACTGTGAGCATGAAATCAGACAAGGTGAAAAAATATGTTCAAGCAAGGCATATTTTAATACACTCCACACTGGAATGTATTTCCACTGTACAGCACAGGTAAGGGAGTTTGGCTGTGTAGCAGCAAGAAAATGAAATATTCCAAGTCCTCCAATGCACTAGGTGGCGCCAGTAAAGAAGCTATGTGATATCAAAGAGTTATAAAGTATAAATACTAACCAATTACTATAAATGTTGAAAAATTTTCAGTACACTACAAATGCGTTTTAACAAACATGCTACAAAATATTCATCAAGCTGATTTCATTCTTATGAATGGATAACGTATGTGCAAACAAGAGACAACACCTGGGACATGGCAGGCAAAGTGGTACGTAGTACTGATAAGGATGCCTCCATTAGCCCAGGCACATCCTGTCGTGTGTGTGTGTGTGTGTGTGTGTGTGAGATGAGTCGAAAAAATGGCCCCTTTAAAATGCTAAGCTAATGATAATCAATTCCAGGTGAACACATATTTCTCTTCATGCTGCAGATTGCTCTGAGTTCCTAGTAATTCCTGTTTGCTTGTTGAAAGAGAAAATATTCCCAGGCAAAATATTCTCATTCTGCATTACATAGAGGACAACATGACGTCATCATTAGCAGCGTAGTGTTAAAACGGCCTTGTGGGCCACACTCTTCAGGTGACCTGAGTTCAAGTCCTGGCTCAAGGTCCTTTCCTGATCTTGTTTACCTCTCTCTTCTCACATTGCCTCCTTCCTCTATTTCATTGTCTTGTGTATAATCAAGTAAACGATGATCTTAAAATGGCTTTATTTAGTAGGGGAAAGCTAAAATATATAGCAGTATTGTTGAAAAGATAAGAGATTTATGAGCATGCCGTAGAACATGAAGCTGAAGAAAGTGATTTATAAACATTACAGGCCCACAGTCATTCTTAAAGGGATAGTTCACCCAAAAATGTAAATTCTGTGATTTACTCACCTTCATGTCGTTCCAAACCTGTATGACTTTCATTATGATTAATGCAGAACAAATATTTTAAAGAATGTTGGTGTGATGCAAACAGTTTTGGTGACCATTGACTTTGGACAAAGTTGTATGGACAAAATACAATGTGATCCTTTTGTGCTCCAAAAAGAAAGTCATACAGGTTTGGAACAACATGAGGGTGAGTAAATGATGCCAGAATCTTCATTTTTGGACAAACTAATCCATGAACACATACAGTAGTCCTATTAAATACAAAACCATATAATCTTGTAATGGGTTTGGAGTGCTTAGTGGGTTTGCGTCTTGTCGTTGCGTCTCATCAAATCTTTTATTAACAAGAAGAAAGATACAATAATCCCAGAGGCTGGACTTATAAACAAGTGTAAATCTGGTTTAAATCACAGTTTCCGAGTCCAAACGCTCTATCAGATCCCAAAAGCAAGCAACAAACGGTGCTAATATACACCCAGAGTGTGCTGCAGAACTACTGAAAAACCATGATCCTAACCTCAAACATTTCTTCTAAATAATTAAAATATTGGTATCCATAACTGCGAGGCCGGAGATTGTACACTGTGAGTTTTTAAAAGCTTAGCTTAAAGGCGTGCTATAAATGAGTACTCATAAATAGCCGTTGGTTCAGTATTCAGGAGTAAAGGCTTGGACCCGGAATCAGTATTCAGTACGCCACATATAATGTAAGAGTATTACATAAAGCTCTCAAATGAATTTTAAAGTATAAATAGGCAGAGATATTCATGGCCATACTCAGACCGTGGTCATGAGTTTGAGGGAGCCTGAACGAAATCGCATGATCTTCTTTTTGAGCGCATGCGAGGCTTTTATCTTGACCACGGCATTGGAGGGATTCTGCGAAGAAGAGGGGGACGAGGGCAAGCGAGGGGGCAGTTGCTGAGGCCAGACCAGCCCTCCGCTCTCATCTGAGTCACTGGACACCGAACTGGTTCCTGGAGAGAAAGTCTCGCTCAGACTGGAGTCGGACCCATCAGTCGGAGCAGTAGTGGCCTCTTGGTCCTGCTCCATGAACTGAACACTAGTGCGTTTGGCGGGTAACTGATTTAGTCTGAAATCGTGCATGTCTTTTCTGAATATCCCCTCATCTTCTTCTTGACTGAGGTCTGCCGAGGAGCACCACAGCCGCTGATTAGATGGATCAAATTCGTCACTATGATGCCTGCCCATGTCCTGTCCCACCGTATA